AGGGTCATGGTAGCTTGAAGTGAGAAGTCAACTGCCAGTTAATAGACTTTTTGCCGTATGAATATACGTTGCCCAGGGTGCACCACGTGGAGGTAAGTCTGTCGCACACCCCGTGACCAAACATTAACCTCTGTTTAACCTAATACCCCATCCTGATCATGAGTAGCTCCCTGCGTGTACACACTTCATCCGCAATACCCGTGCTGAATAAACGTGCTCCGTGCTACACGTCTGTTTCCTTTATAGCTGGGCTATGGCATAGCTGGTTCTGGGAGTCTAGCTAGATGTTGGAGAATCTGCCATAGAGATTTCTGAGTTAGTCAGGCTTTAATAAAGTAGCAATCCGCTACAATAACGATTAAAGAAACAAGAAAATATTATCATCGATTAAATAAAATACGCCAACTATAAAGAAAATGTTTGAAATACCCAATGAATCAATAAATGTTATTTAAATTCCCGAATTAACCTAACCCTCATTTTCTTGGTCAAAGCTGAACTTTCCTGCGTTTGATTACGTTGTACTGGGAAAACTCTAAAATACCTCAGTACAAAAAAAGGTTCATACATTGATAAGGTGAGGCTATACACTCTCAAGTGCATATAAGCAAGTTCTCGACAGTCCCTAGTCTGTAATCACCTTCAGATATATTTCATTTAATATAATGAATTGTTATTTTTTAATAATTAATTAACTAGATCAATACATTTTTTATCTTGACCTGTTAACTGGTTGGCGTGCTTATCGTAATGTGATTGGGAAGCACACACATGGGAAGTGAATGCGCACTGAGAAAATTCGACATATTCGAATCGCGTGGTGTAAATTGTGCTAATGCCAAGTTGGAACTTCGCGGTTGTGAGGACAAATCAATCCACTTTGTTTCAACGGGAATTTATCAGGCTGCCAAAGACTTATAGCCCAGTTGCTACGGCAATAAATCAACTACCCTGCAAGGGGCTATTACACCACGAAGATTTGACTAACCTTCACTAATCCTCCCTGGCAAAATTCAATGTAAGAAATTTCTACTAAAATAAACAAGGCTACGTCCAAAACAGAAAGAACACAGTACGTATAGGGTAAAGAGTGTCTATTGCATTTATGACTCACTTCTATGAAGCTTAGTCACTAAAATACACTTATGGCTGTAGCGACAATTGATTGCTGGTTCCCTGAGGGTTCACTGGACTCACAGCCGAGCTTGTTGGTTAGGTAATCAGTGATACGACCTTCTATATGTTTTAGCCCGGGTGAAATTCTTCGGATCAGCCTTGATAGCAATGGACACTTCACTAACCCCAACGATTTCAGGTTCTCGTGATTATTTTACTTTCCCCCATTATGCTTCCTCCTTCATCCAAATATTCTCATTATTTCTTGCACAAGAAACTCGATTATTAATAAAGATATGATTTTTATTTCATTACGAGAAGCAAATAAGCCTTTAACAGTTTTGTCAAAAACGAATTAGAACTATATCCTAATTCCTAAAATGTAATTCCTAGAATTCGATCGATTTTCCAAAGAGTTAAATGAACAAAAATCAACTTGCCGAAAGTTACTGGATAGTGAACAAGTTACACGAAAACTATTCTGCAGCTATGAGCGCATCGATTCCCGTAGTGTCTCTTGTAAGGATAAGAACACGGAATTATAGATTATTAACGAAAGTATCCGAAGAAAAACAGCTAGACCAAAAGGTACCGAACCTCATTCAACTGTCTCCAAATCGTGAAAAGTTGACTTTCGGTTGCTTAAAGAAGAATCATCCACTGCCTGATATTTGTCTCGAAAGTGACTGTAAAAAGATCAGGATTGCCCGCAAGCATGCCACGATCCGTCGAACTAGTACCGGTCAGTTCAAGATCAGAGATAAGAGCCTTTACGGAACTTACCTAAACTACAGGCGGATCAATCATAGCGCCTCACTGAAAAGTGGGGATGTACTCTGTTTCGGAAGCATCAATGGATTTCAAATCAAACCTAAAGGGAAAATCAGCAAGAACTCTTCAGATTTGAAGTTCAGAGTAAGTGAGAGCATTACATAAGTGGCGAATTTATTTTGTTGCCTCAGTAATTAGGTCGTTTGATCAAATTTTGACTGTTAGAGCTTTTATCAAATCCATAAACTGTTCTAAACATTTGTAGAGGTCAATATGGCATCAAATATTAAGAATGTCAGTAAAGATTGAAGAAACCGTACTCAAATACGAAACATACTTCGTGAAGTTAATTAATCATTGGTTTAATTCCATTCTTAAAATCCAGTCTGCCTAAGGTATTTAGAATTGCTATTATCTGATTAAATCCTTTTGTAAACGCTGTCTGATCAAACGCATAAGATATCCTCTATTTTGAAGCAAGATTTACATTAAGGTTACTGTGAGCTATTAAGCCGACACTTAAGTTATGAGTCTAAAAAGAAATATGAACTATCATTGATTGGCAATTTAGTTCACATTGAGTCTGAATTTCAATTTTTATATGGACTGCTTGAATGACTTATGGAGGCCTGATTTTTATGAAAAAATACGCCTTAATAACGGTGAATGTAGTGTTTTGAAATATGTGGCTATCAGCGTTATGGACTTGTCCAGAAAGTTGTGAACGTTGAGGGAGGCTCACATCATTCTGAGATATTCGAAGCCAAGAATTTTGAGAATTGATTGTGGGTTTCATTAAACCCATTTAATCGGGCTTATGGTTCTATTAAGTTCCATACATTTTTGCACCATTATTTAGGGAAAATAGAGGCCAGAAAAAGATATTTTATACTTATATGGATAGGCAAAGTTAAAGTAGAAATGACACTAATTTACTGTTGATTCAATGTCTCGTAATTCGTTTATCATTTCAGAGTAAGAACATTATCTTTGTTTTGTTGATTAAGCGTTAATTAGTTCTCAACATATATCGAAACCTTATTGATTGACCATTCAAATTTCCTGTTCGGTTTGCAATTTTTTAAATCAAAATGAATTTAATATGCCCCAATTTTTTCTTACTTAGGTTTGGATTGAAAATATCTATCCGGTTGATAGTTTGAACGATTTCGAGAAAAAGAGAGTTGAAACATTAATGGAAATTGTCGAACACTTATTTGACCGGATAGAAAAACTGGAAGGCGAAATATTGAAACTCATACAAAAATATACCACCAATTTGAGTTTTAATGATACTAATTTAATTTAAGCGCAGTTTAAATGCTATTACAGATGTTGGTTTATAGTATTAAATTTTCTATTTGATAATATTAAATGGGATTCTCTCAAGATCGCTGAAGGGATCGGGATTAAGTAATTGCTTTGAAGAGTACTTAGTGCTAACACAAACACCAGCAACTCACAGATAGTTTAAAATTCGTTCTTAAAAGTGAGAGAAACGTTTTTACAGCATTGTGAAAAGGTGCTGGATTTTTAACTTTCGATAGGAGGACTTCACGGAAAATAAAAATGAAATAGACACATACAATGAAAATTTTTACCAATACGTTTTACATTTGTGATTTGGAAAACCTCAATCTCAAGCATATAATTTACGATTTATATTAGATTATAGATATTTCAAAATTTCCTCTTGCCTTTAATTTTTATTTCATTATGAGTACAAACTTCAAGGCTTGATTCCATGGAAAATGTTCACCGAATAAAGTTAAAATTATAACCATGATGTATGATTCTATTTAATATGGGTCAATTTTAATCGATTTTTGGTTCAGTTATTGTCTTAGACGCGCCTGCTGGCTATTAACCACCTATTAGGTGTACAGGTTTATTCAGTAAAATCTAAAGTAATTTACTTATAAGTTTCATTCTTTCTGCAATGCTGATGTAAGAACAAAAAATAAAAACCTCTCACTATTATTAATAACTTCTATTTTTTGGGGAGAATAAATTATAGATCTTTAATTTTCGTCAAATGTCAAATCTCTATTAAATTTGCTCAAAATTGATAAATATAAAAAATTGGCAAACTTTATTCGAAAGCAATGAAAATAAACTAATTAGAAATAATTAGATATTGTCATAATTTGTTTTCAAATTTTATTACCCCTCATGTGTTATTACTGATACATCTTTACGCGGTAATTCTGATCATAAAACGTGTGAAATGGTAAGTTGGGGTTTGTTAAGCATGTTCCGTGTTCTAGAATGAACTTAAAGGAATATTGAATGACAGTGTTATAGACCTAAAGCTAGTCTCAAACAATGTCAATAAGTTTTCAAAGCGACCAAAGCTTTTGCAAACTATGTTCAAGGTACTATCTTTTTACGAACTAATCCATCAAAATTAGAAAATTTGCAAAGTATGGAGTCAAGAATCAGAAGATCGAATGCTTCTGGCCTTACTTATTATTGTCAAGGCATTGAGGAGAAATCCTGATTATTATAGTGCCTGCACCAGAGTAAGTGATTTTTCCTAGCTCTTACATCTTTAGTCAATGTATCTTACATACGTTAAAAACTCAAAATTCATCTACGGAAACAATATTGCAAAGAATAATTTAATGAAGAGGGGTCTTTTGGAGGTCTACTCACTTCAGCTCGAGGAAGCCTATAAGCATGCCTTCGTATTCATTAGACAATTAGCTATAACCGTTCGTAAAGCCTTGCTTCATAGCAGTAAAGTAAGTTCTCCATTTCTCAGTTTATATTCACTTCTAGGATGAAATTCGCTCAGTTTATAACTGGCAATTTATCTGCAGTCTTAAACTTTGGTGTGAATTTGTTGCTCGATATGCGGGATCAAGCGAACTTATAAAGTCGCTTATCCACCCCTTAAATACCATTATCATTGCCGCTATAAGGTTAGTCTTTTATACCTTTAATATACTCTTCCTCTTAGACTTAGTCCAGGAAGTCGCTGGATTCCTATTCGTTTCCATTTCATTGAATGTCTTCATATCCTCGCTGGAGTTGATAAAAAACTTCGCGTTTTAGTAAGCCAGGAGAATAATGCAGATGAGATTAAAGTTTCCCCTCCAGTTTTGGTTTCCAGTTTACCTCTTCTCCTGGACGTTTTTCAACTATTTGACTTTAACAAACGTTCAAGCGCTGCTTCAAAGTACGTCCATATTCGATTCTTTTGTTTTCTTCCAAAATTTTCATTTACTTATACGATTCTTTATAGTGCTCCAATGGATTTGAGACTGATGCTGCATTTCTCGCCATCTCAACGTAAACAGACCGCTTGTGCAGATGCTGTTGCTGCTTGGCTTCATGATCTTCTCGCCGAGTCGCTCTGTCTTTATGCAAACTCCGTTGCGTTTCCTGAATATTCATCATCTGCTGTTACTGAGGTAATGAATATGATTTACAACATAATCTTATTCCGCTGCTTGTTTTACATTCGTGCTTTAGTTAATTAGGCATCATTTCAGTGTTTGCTAACATTTATTCGTTTATTATATTTACTAGTGATCTAGATGATTTCTTTCTTCATCTGGCTAATAGTGTCATTATCAGTAGTAGCGCAAGGCACGTTAATACTGGAAATACCATTGGCTTTACTTCGGTTCCATAGCACCCGTTTATCCCCTACCATTCGACTCGACCATATTTTTTCAGACTTCTTTCGGTGGTGTATGTTTTATGTTCTTTTACAACAGTTTTGTTTCTATCTTTCACGTCATTTTTTATGTTTTATGTTTGGTTTTTTTCCTAAAATTATTACATTGAGAGGAAAGCAAACATGCTCAAAATTTTATTGATCTTGTCATCTGATCGCTAGATAGTCTTAATTAATTGAGAGCGAAAAGAATAGGCCTTTTGCCTAAGAAAACCCTGAAGACTCTTTAATTCCATTTGGTTTGGTATTCAGTGGTTCTGCATTTTGACGTATATGGAATTTAAAGCATTCGAATTTCACCTGTTTGAAATGTATGCATATTTGATTTACTTGACCTTCCATGTAACTGCCCAATTTTCGACAGTTTTTCATAAGGAGCTTATAAACTTCTGGCGAATTTATTTAAGTCTCATGCTCTATCTGCAATTGTGCTTCATTAACATCATAATTGAAGGTACTTTTGGCCTTAGCCTAGTTTTTTATTCCTCGGTCTTTGGATCTAAGGAGGACGAAGAAAACACCTTTTTGATTATGTAGTTTTTTGAAAAGCGGTTATTGGCTTATATCTCTTCCAATTCCATTTAGAATTACTAGGAGTTTTGAGCTTCTATTAACGATACTATTCCATTTTTCAGGTGAAAAGTTTCCTCAAAACCTGTAAGGTTGCTAATTTCACCCGCAATTTCAAGTCCCTCCTCGCCAAGGTCAAAGAGCACGTGGATCTAGTGAGACGGAAGCGAGATTGCATCAAAAGCCTCTTTGAACAGCAGGCTATCGTAAGTCATTTCCCCATTTTTTAATGTTTTAGTTGAGTTCTGTCTTTACAACATGTTTATTATTGTGTGGTATGGTTGAATTGCAATTTCCTATGGGTGCCGAATTAGAATTAACTTCTTGGCTATTTGAGACACAAAGTTTGCGTTTAAATGAATCAGAATAGTCGAATGAATGTTTAATGTTGCTAAATATTGCTTATTTACTTATCAGGCTTTCTGAATCAATTGGATGATAGTTTATTAAACAGATGTGTTGGTTCAAGTTGGTTATTTATATGCTATATGATGGTGGGAAAAATCAGCGGTACATTTTTCCCCTTCATGACATCGCTTAAAACTGGAGTATAATGCTCAGATTAAGATAGGTGGAGTAAAACTATTAGGTTGAAAGAGTTTTTGCTCATTTAAAATCCTGAACTCGCCATGTTTTCTCCCGTAAATTTTTCATCGACGAAATAACGGGTTCCTAATATTCAAGCTTAAACACCCCCTCTTTGATAAGCTAGCTTTCGCTCGGTCCAATAAGGCTAAAAAAATTGGTTATCGGAACCTAGGTTGTTTCAAATTGATCTTATAGATCGAGCGTTCGTGTTTATCTTCTACAACTTCCCTATAACTAGTTATCATTTGATGACTGTCCTGTAAAATAGGTCAGAGTGAAGCAAGCTTGGCTGAAATTCATTTTTTTCCTGTTTCACTTAATAAAACTTTGTGTATTTTGCTTTTCAGACCACCTTGGAAGTAGCTTTTGGACAACCAGACACTCCTCTTCTTGACTACTATGTGAAGCATCGCAAGATTCGTGTTCATGAGCTCTCTGTTCTCGCTGAACGCTTCAAGAGCGAAGTTAGTCCCTAAGCCATCTTGCTACTGGTTTATATTCCAATAGCTTGGTCTTTTAATGTATTTAATTTGCATATTTTTTAGGACATGGAGCATATGAAGACCGAGGACGCTTTTGCTGACGAGAAGGATGCTATTCAACCGAATAACACAGATGATGCAGCAGGAACACTCTCTCCTAAGAAGCGTGGAAAATCTAGGAAAGTGGAAAGCGATGAATCGGAAGAGTCTGACGCGGAAAGTGACGCCTCTTATGATATTGATGATGGCAGAACTGTGGTCCACGTCTCTCGTTCTGGCAAGAGATCTAAGAAGGAGAAGAGAGATAGTGCTGAATCAGATTCTGGGGATGATGACTTTGACTTGGATGCTGCTTTAGCTGGAGATGAAGCAGAAAAAGACTTGGCTCAATCAGGGGATGAGGATGAATTGAAGGAGTTCCGCATTGATGACTTTGAGGATTGCGACGAGGAAGGGGAGGGTAGGAATGGAGAAAGTGATAGTGATAGACTTCGACGACTCATGAAAGAGGATCCGGATCTTGCCGGTTTGAGCGACGAAGAATCCGAAGTTGATGATGAGGCGGAATTGATGGATATCGATATGGATGATTTTAGTTCTGGAGATGATGAAGACGTTGAAATGGAAGTTCCATCAGCCGAAGTTCATGAAAGCGATGTTGGAGGTCAAAGGAAGCCTGTAATTGCCAATGGCGGCTTCAAGAAGAGGAAGAAACAGAACGGAACTGCGAATAAACCTCAGCAGAAACAGAGTTTAGGAATAAAGAGCAATGGTGGTGATATTGGCGGTGGAAAGAAGAGCAGAAAGAAGAATAAGAAGCGACGTAGGAAGAATGTGAAGTAGACTTTGTTTTGCTTGTAAAGTACTCCCTGACTATGTACATGAAATTCCATCGATTATAATCGTTTGCCAAGAGTGGGTCTCTTTACCTTTTATGGTTATGGTTATAGAACACTGACTTTATTTAATTGGACATCTACATTGCCAAGTTACAATCGTGGAATTGGGCTACCAGTGAAAATTGGGTTTACTGTATAATTCGGGTGGGGTTGTTTGGTGTTTATCTGGTTAATTATAAACGTTTCAACACATACACCTATGTCCTTATCTAGGTTGGTGATCAATCTGCAAGTAGGGTGGGAGAAGATAACACCATCAGTATGGTCTATTTCCGCAAGGGTGGCTATCCCATGTTTCAAATAATCAAACACCTATGATTCTTAGATGCACATGCTGACATTCCGTTTGGAGTGCGTTTGAGGCATTGTTGATGCGAATATCTGTGGAATGAGTACAATGGAGATTTCTTCCTTGTTGCTGGTATCATTACGAAATGCGCAAGTGGCAAATTCTCCGTGATTAAAGAGGGCATAATTCCTCGAAATGCTATTTTTGCTTAAAAAATGGGTTAAAATTTCCATAACAATTTTATATTACACATTATCTACACGTATTTTAACAAGGTTTAATTTCAAGCAAGTGAAAAATTTATAGAGACCGTATATGGTCGAAAGCAATTAATCTGGGGTACCTATGTATGTTTGGCTACTGTTCAGGCAAAAAAGTGGTAAGCTTCTTTGTCAAGTTTTCCAGAATGTCAATTTTTTCCTTTATATCAGAAGCGGACTTCACCAATTTGTCAAACTTCATCTTCACTTCCTCATCAGTTTGGCCGCAGGGAAATTTATCCTCAATCACAACCTTAAAATTGGAATCATTATTTATTATGACAGTATGAGATAACTAATTTTGTATAGGATTTGATGTCGATTAAGGTAGCCAACTATGCAGTGCATAGACCTGTGGGACACGTTATCGCGCTGTTCGTCATCGTATGCCTGCATGTCTGCTCGCCAGGATTGGGAGGTGCGGCCGTACAACTCTGTGTGCAGCGACCGGACAAACAGTGACCAATCATCAACCTCTGCTCAACCTAATCCCCCATCCTGATCATGAGTAGCTCCCTGCATGTACACACTTGATCCGCAATACCCGTACTAAATAAACGTGCTCCGTGCTACACGTCTGTTTCCTTGATAGCTGGGCTATAGCTTAGCTGGTTCTGGGAGTCTAGCTAGATGTTGGAGAATTTGCCATAGAGATTTCTGAGTCAGTCAGGCTTTAATAAAGTGGCAATCCGCTACAGACCAGTTGTGTTTTGGTGCGTTGCGAACATCCACTTCGAAAATATTTTACTGAATAGATCCATCGAATCTCTCTCTCTCCCTCTTAACTTAAGGGAAATATTCACTAAATAAACAATTTCAGAGATCATTGTATTTTTGCAATAAAGAACGAATTTTAAATTATTACTGTAAGTTTTAGGTATTTACTCACCATATACTTCAGGTCGGATGATTTCTTGTCGATTTCTTGACCGGGTCTAATTCGAAATCCCTTGGCACAACCAAAGCAGATGATATCACCATTTT